GTCGTTCGAGTCCCAAAGGAGTTGCGACCCCCAGGTTGAGAACTGCTGCTCTAACTGAAGCTGGAGTCTGGGTGCTCCCGTTCTGGCCTCTTCCTGTGACATCACGCCCTGAGATGCACCCGCGTTACTGCGAGAACACACGCCCTGCTGTCCTTTGCTGCCTAACATCCCCCGGGGGAAAGTGCACACGGTGTCCCTGACGTACAGTGAGTCACCAAGGCCCTGCTGGCGGCTCAGTTCCTGACGTGATCCTGCACGGCTCCGGACTCTGCATGCCTGCGGCTTTAGTCCCACTTCGGGAGTGTTCTCGATGCACGGACTGGGGGTGGGGGTGGGGGTGGGGGTGGGGGATTAAGAGCTGGCCTTCGTGCAGGTCTGTGAACACACATCACATCGCCTGGAAAGACTGACCCCTGTTTCCCGACAGGGCTTGGGTAGAAGCAGAAGGACCTGCTGTGACGTGTGGACATTTTGAACCTCTGGCTTCGGACGCTGCAGGACCTTCGGACCTGGCCCTGACCAACACCCTTTCCTCAAAGCTCCCTGCGTTTCTGTGGGACGTGGCAGCGAATTGCAGAACCCCGAGGGGATGTTCCCGAGGGAGGAGTTGGGGAAAAGGGGCAGATTAGCCCATCTTGGAAGAGCTGGCCGTTGAATCTCCAGCTCCTCTCGAGTGAGGCTGGGTTGTCTAGGGAAATAAGCCAGCGACAGTCCTGTGTGTACAAGAAAGAACTTTATTTATATCCAGGAGCAACATTCCAGCTGCCTCCTCCTACTCAAACAGCAAGGTGCCCTGGGGGCAGGGAGGGCACAGGCTGCTGAGCAGAGTCACGTGGATCCGTGGTGGTGGTGGGGAACGTGGCAGGGCGCCCACAGCTCTCAGGGACAGGTGGCCCACACGGGGCCACCCCTGGGGGCAGACCCCGAGTCTGGTGAAGGCCCAGGGAGGCGTCGTCTCCGTTCCATCTTGCACGTCCACAAAAGGCCACACCCCCAAGGAGGACTTCCACTTGATTGACAGGTTGAACCTCCCTCTCCTGCCCCGCCCCGGCCAGGAGCACCTAATGGACATGCTATCTAATGGCCACCTCTCAGACGAGTAGGGATGAATGCTTTCATTCATGACCGCAGCATCTGTTCATCAGTTGATTGATATGTGAGTGATTCTCGCATTGTCAGGGTGTATCCACACTGAATGTGTGCAAGTCTCTGCTGGAGACATGTGCTCACGCCTGTCTGTCATTTAAGGAGCCCTGTGGCCTACTGGGCGACAGTGGGCTGCTACCACCAGCCACTCTTTGGGAGAAAAATGAGGCTGTCTGTCTGCTCCCCTAAAGAGTTACCGTCTCAGAAACCCCACGGGCTGTGCTACCCTGTCCTATGGGGCCGCAATGGGACAGAACCGGTTTGACGGCAGCGGCTTTGAGTGTTGACTCTGTCACTGTCACACGTAGAGGCTGCGAGACCACCGGAAGTTCTGCCACGACAGTCACCCACGGTGGGTAGGTTTCAGCGGAGCCTCCTGACAGGCAGGAAGAAAGGCCTGGTGGTCCGCAGAATACTGCCCGCGGCTTCGGCTGGCTGGCTGGCTTAGGGCACATCTCCCGGGACCCACCGTTGGAGAAGGGCATCCCGGTGAGGGAATCGCTCGGTGAGATGGATTGCCACAGTGACCACGCAGCGGGCTGGGACACGCCGTGGCCCAGGGCATCCCTTCACATAGCTCTTCTAGCTTTAGTCTCACGGAGTCCTGATGGCATTCCGTGCCACACACGGGTCAGCGATGCCATGTGAACCCACCCGTTGTCCCCTCGTGGGAGATGGACGGGGTTTCCCGTGACCTCAATGGTTCACAGCCTCTGTGGGGCATTTCTACTCGCTCCTGGCGCCGGCATTGACTCGATGGCAGTGAGGCTCACTGGGCTGTCAGTTGTGAAGTCATGTAGCGTGGGTCATGTAAAGACGTGGTTATCTTACACTCTGCAGTGTGTTGTGGATCCCAGCCACGAGGCCTGTGGTCAGTGTCTCATCCCGGAGTGTTTTCCGTTACACCCGCGAGGTGAGGGGTCTGGGTGAGATGTGTCGAGTCAGCGCCTGACCACAGAGTGTTAAGTCAGGGCCTCTATCCCAGTCACCATCCTGCACAGCCTTCCCCTGCTCTGCTCGAGTGAGTGGATTTCCTCGAGCGCATGGCTTGTGTCCACTCTGCGTGCTCCGGCCAAGCTTTGTCTTTTGATGTGGATCCTACCATCGGCTGGACTCGCGCCAGCAGCCTCTGTCGTCTGACCTGCAGGTTTGTGCTTTCCTGCCCTGCAGCCATGTGAGCCAGGAGGTACCGCCAGCTTGACATCTGACCCATGAGCCTGTGACTGGACGCTGCTGCCTCCACGGGGCCCATTCCCCCAACAGTTCGTGAGTGCCGCAAGATATCATCCCGGAAAATTATGGAGCCCAAGGATTGGAGGGGAATGAGCGAGGGGGAAGGGGAGTGCTGATATTAGAGGCGGTTCAGCATCCTGGAGAAGTTGGGTCGTTTGGGGCATCTTTAATCTCCACGCCGCAGAGGCCAGCTTTGTGCTGCCCCTTGCAAAGGACGCTGTTGGGGCACACACTGCCCATCTTGACTGTGACGCAGGTCAAGGCAACCCTCTGCTCTGCCGTATCCAAGACCAGCACTCGCGTTAGAGCCGAGTCCACAGCAATTTGTAGCAAAGGGCAAGCTCGGATTTAGCCCCAAGAGTTGCAGTGCTAGGTCACAGGGAAGACGGCACCCCTAAGCGAACATTCACAGATATGCAGAGAGCTGGGAGTCGGATCCTGATGGGATGTAAGAGGGTGACTGGTCAGAAGAAACCAGCCTCTAACAACCAAAGGGCCCGTAGGCACAGTTGTACGCGACACTCCATAAAGATCGCAGTGAAGTCAGAGGACGGGGAAGATGGGAGAGAGAGCAAAATGAAGGCGTCAAGACACATTTGATGGTAGCACGCTCACCTCAGTCCCTCGATGGTCCTTGTGGGGGAGGGAGGAGATGAGGGAGAGTCTTTACTGTCTTGGGACATTTCTAGGCAGCCCTAAGACAGACATATTCAGTAGTTACATACGTCACAGGGTGGGCGGTAAGGACCGTAAGGTCCCTGAGCCCATAGGTGAGGAAACCTAATACCTGCATTGGGAGAAGGTAGGAGAGGGGATGGGTGACAAGGCGGAGAAGGACATCGTGTTTAGTAGAGCCTGGGGGGCGGGGCAAAGGAGGAAGGCCTTCGATGAGCTGGCCGGGCACAATGGCTGCAACGTGGGCTCGGCACAGACACAATGGCGAGGCCGGGCAGCACGGTCGCGAACTCGAGGGCACCTGGCAGCAGCCGTGCGGTGGCGTGCGTTGTATCTGTGCGGCCATCACCACTGCACAGCCCCAGATCTTCTCATCACCCCAAAACACGCTCGGCACCCCTTGGGCGGTAACTCCCATGTGACCTTCCTTCCAGAGCGGGTGGAAGCCACAGTCCACGTCCTGAGTCTGTGAATCCGCCTGTTGGAACAATTTCACGTCCGGGGGACCTGACGGTGCTGGTCTTGTCTCCGAGTGGTTCAACCAAGAGGTGGCACGTACCAGAATTCCATTGTGGCTTCCGGAGACAATGTCAGGATGATGGGGTCAGCAGGTTACAGTTCAGGATCAGAAATGCTTGGGATCCAGCTCACAGGTTAAGCAGCCAGGAGCCATGCATTTCTCTTGGCCATGCAGCCTTCGGGCCTCTCGGCCAATGTAACAACGCTCCCTGAGTGTTGCTAATAAAAGCCCAGGTCCTTGGCTCTAGTTCCGTAGGTGGGCCAACCCAGCACTCCCAGTGAAGGGGCGGGGGGCACCCTACTCCGCAAGCCAGTCTCCTGCCTGAAGGCACTCAGCCTCCGCCCTCTGCGGGCCAGGGGCCACCCTGCCTCGCACCCTGGTGCTGCTGCGTGTCACACTGTGTGAACGGACCACATCGTGCTCACCCATCATCCGATGTGGCCTTTAGGTGATCGTGAATCACACCGTGATGCACCTTGGTGGACACCTACCCATTTGAGCCCCTGCTTTCATGCCCCCCACCCCCCGCCCGACCCAGAACAGAATCCCTGCACGTCATCTGGTAACCCACCATCCGGTTCTCTCAGGAACCGCCAAACTGCTTTCCCCAGTGGCAGCCCCATGTTCCATACCCGCCAGCAACGGACGAGGGTTCTGATTTCCTCACTCCCTGCCTTTCTCCAGAGGTGGTTCCAAACTGCCGACCTTGCAGCACAAAGGCGTCACCACCACGTCCATCCCCCGGGTCCCCAGGAAACCAGCACGTTGTGCACACCCACACAGAGTTTATTTGTAAAGTTTATTAATGGCAGCACTGAAGGGAGCAGCCACGCACTTAAGAACTCCGCCACCCCTTCTGCTCTGAGACGGGCTATGGGACGCTTCCCTCGCCCCACCCGCCCCAGGCCAAGACGCCCACTTCCCAGATGGCCCTCCATGCAGGGAAGGAGTCAGGACACAGACAAGACAGACACCCCTGATTTGGATAAGAAACAAATGCGGGTGGGGGAGGGGAGCCCAGGAACCACACCATTATGGACGGAAGAGGGAGCTCGAGAAACGGAGTTTACTAAGGGGAGAAAGAAAGCTCACATTTTCCCCGGGCTCCGAGAAGGGGGGTCAGGAGATGAGGGTGTCTGTCGGCCTTGGCCTAGAGAAACTGTGGCCCCCACATTGGCAGCTGGGACAAG